AGCAACTTAGCAGGACTGTCACACACACAAAAGTAAGTTTAAAAAATTACATAAGATAAAACGTGAAAAAGTTAAAAAGGTGGACAAGATTAAGATGCAGTAGGCAAAGATATATATTTTCACATGCTTCTTGGAGTTTCCCCATTTTAATGACTGCTAGACTAGAAGATTGAAGAGTTTTTCAGAATTTACTTGTAGGTAACATTGTTCAAAAAACATACCTACCACTGTCTTGGTTTTGAAACCTTCATTTAGCTGGCTTCTCCAACCCTGATTTTTCCTTATGTGCTGTGAACCTTCCTCTTTGGGGTCTTTAGGTGGCTCCTCTCCTCTCTAGTCTGCATCTCGGGGTTCCTGGCCTTCAGTACCTTCTTGCTGTCTTGTCTGATGTGCGGAACCAGGGTGTCAAAGGGTGGCGACTGCTGGATCTCGGGCAGCAGCTCTGAGCCCTCTCTTGAGCTAGACTTGTTAGTCCTGCAGGCAGACCCCGAGTTCCAGTCCAAACTCATGGTGCCCTTTTCTATCTAGGCCTGCTCCTTCCCCACTATTGTCCCATCACACCTGCATTAGCCCAAGCTTGAAGTCAGAAAAAAACTGTGCAGTTTCACATTCTGCTATAGGCACCAACTTTGAAAAAAAGCAAAAAAACCCTCAGTCCATTTTTCTTCTTGCCCCTCCGCTGTTTCTCTACTGACCCTGTACTGTTGGAGTAGCCTCCGAATGGCCTTCCTATTGTGTGTCATTTCCAGCCTGTCAACCACAATGTAGCCATGGTAGTTCATGCACAGTGCAAAGCTGGCTGTCATTTCCTTGCTGAGCATTGTGCATTTGCCTGTCCCCTGCCTGCCTCCTTGAGACAGGGTAGTAGTAATAGTATGTAGTTCAGGCTGGCTTTCTACTTACCATGTAACCCAGGCTGGTTTTGAACTCATGGCAATCCTCCTGCCTCGATCTCCCAAGTGCCGGGATTACGGGTGTGCACCACCATGCCATGCCCTTCCCCTCTTGAGTAATTTAAGCTCCTTATGCAGAGGTCATTGCTTCTCTTCTGGCCTCTTGTGGATCTGTAGCCCCATTCCTTACCTGCCCTTGCTTCTGATTTACCTCCAGTATTGCTTTATTTTCTTCCCAGTGCACTCAAATTTTAAATAACTGAACTGAGTTATATATTCATTTAATTCAAGTCTCCTAGTTCCCTAAGATTGAGAGTTTCCTACCTGCCATTTCTCCATCCCTACAGCTAGCCATTTTCAGCTGTACCTGCTCTCACTATTTGCTTCTAATCTCTAAGTTGCATCTTGTATTGTGTTGTTGCCTTTTTTTTCTTTTTTCTTTTTCATGATGGTGGTATAAAGGATTACTGCTGCAGACCTTTTAAAACTTTTATTTTAGACAGGGTCTCACTAAGTTTTCTAGGCTGGCCTGAAACTTGTGATCTTCCTGCCTCAGCCTCCCTAGTTGCTGGATTATAGGCATACCTTACCACAACTGGCTTGTATAAATCTTTTTTTTATACAAATGAGTTCATGTATCTTGGGTAGGTACCTATAAGTGGAACTGCTAGGTAATATAATAGATGTTTTTCATTTTGTAAGAGACTGTACCCAAAAGTTCAAGGCCAGCCTGGGTAACATAGTAAGACCTCATCTTTAAAAAGTGAAACAAAACAAAACAGGCATAGTGGTCACGCCTGTAATTCCAGCACTTTGAGAGGCCAAGGCAGAAGGATCACAAATTTGAGCCCAAGCCTGGACAGTTTAGTGAGACCTGTCTCAAATGGCCTGGGTATATAGATCAGTGGAAAGGCCCTGGGTTCAATCGTGTGTACTGGGGGAGGGGAGGTGCTAACTCGAATTACAAATAGATACAAAACTAGACACCATAGGGCAAATAATTGCATTCCACTAGACATAATTAACTTCCATTTCTTTGGGCAGGAATTCACTCTCAAAGTTTTTGCCACTTTAGAGTTATAAAGCAGCTCACAGACCAGGAAAAGTGTAGGTCCCTATAAAATTATAGAAACTGGAAGGACATTCTAGATGGCACTCCAGTTATCAGATTTTTGTTCCTTTCAAGGCCTCTCAGTGTTTCCTACCATCTTCCCCACTCATGATTCTTGGTCACAGGTCAGTCTGGTCCTGATTGGTGTGTGGGGCAGCAAGAGTGTGGCTGCCAGTACCGCTTTCCTGGTCTCATAGCAGAGAGCCACATGGCCAAGGGTGTATGACAGCTGTCCCAGGTCTTCTTGAGGACCCTCAGATGGGACTTCTGGAAGCCTCTGTCACTCATATCTGAGAGTGGGGAGGCAAGCCCAGGCCCTTCTGTACCATACTTTTTCCCCAGTACATGTAAATCTGTGTAGATTGTTTTCTTACCAAGGCTGTTAGCCTCCCAAGAACTGGTCTCTGCACCTGAAGGCTGGGGTCTTAGTCCACTTGTGTGAGAGGACACCAGGTTGGTTTTGGGGGAAGGTGCTCCTAGACATTAGATCCATAAGAAAAGCCAAGCTTTCTTTCCCTAAGAGTGGCTTATCAAACCTGAGTCACTGAGCATCATTTCTGTCTCTTTTTTTTTAAACTAGATTTAATTTTATTGTTAAAAATTTTCCCATTCTCCTTCCCTCCCTTCCACCTCTCTACCTCTCCCTGTTCATAGAGAAGCTTTGTTTCTATTTTTTCCTTCTTTTCTCTTATTCTTTCTTTACTTACTTTCCTGTCCCCACCCAACTCCCCTTCCCCAATGAACCTATTTCACATTTCACATTATCTGTTACACATTTTGGGTCTCATTTACACTTTCAGTTTCTCACACTAGAGAAACTATTCAGTATTTACACATGTGTGTACTATTTATTTCACTTAAGAGTATGGCCTCTATGTGCATTCATTTAACTATAAATGTCTCTAGTTTAGCATTCTTTATGGCTGAGTAGTACTTTATTAAA